GCTTTCCGATTCTGGCTAACTTTGGCATCTTCATCCGTTCCGGCTAAGTGTAGTTGAAAATGTGCTTCCTGGCTGGATAAGTGGAGGAGGTAACCACTGTCTAATTTCGCCTTTTGGTGGTGATTGATGCTGGTTGTTGTTATTGCTGCTGTTCGTTGGTTATCTTCATCACCTCTGTCTTTTCTTTGTTCACGCGAAATCCTGTCTTCGCCTGCAAGTCTTCTAGTGTGTGTGAATTAAACATAAATCATCCACACATGAAATTCAGAACTTCTAGAGTCTTCTTATCGGTCGTTCAGCGAATTCCTGCCTCCCCATCCCCACAGTCTGACGCGAAATCCAGTCTACCGCAATTAAGAATATCATTGGTGATAATAGAATAAAATAGAATAATAGAATCACTTTATTCCAAAGAATAATTATATACAATAGGATTTTCAGATTCTTGTACATATTGCAACAATTAACCTCATTTCATAAATATATAAATATGTAAAATAGTAAAAATGGTAAAACTACAAAATCTGAAAGTCAATGGAACATAATGATTAATGGATAAATAATACAATAAATAATATATATCGTAATAACAATCTTTGTTATGCTTTGGAACTTCGCAACTGTTATAAAAAGTGTATAAGCTCGTTCCTGACATTCGTTTGTTTATAAAAAACCCGTGCTAAATATGGTAAAGTGGAATTTTTATATTTAGTTGTGTAAGCATGAATTCTATTGTTATGCAAAGAAAAAGTTGCTGACAAAGAGAATGTTTGGTACCAGACAAGATAATTTAGTTAACTACTTGTGAGAATTAAAATGTCCACGAAAAAACTAATTTTCACCATTCCAAGACATCATAAGGATATGGACGATATTCGACACCAGTTTTCGTTTATTTGTCATCTCACAGAAACCAGCGTAATTCTGCAAGATTGTAATTGTACAACCAAGTGGAAAATGTCTGCAGAAGGAGTCCCTTTGTTCATCTTCTTGTATTTATTTCTGTGTCTAAGTCGGTTTTGCTTTATTTTAATGTCTTAGTGATAAATTTTGAAGAAGAATATTTTAGGTGGAAAAGAGCTTTCAGAAAAATTCATTTTCTTTATCCTACAGTAGGTGGATGTACATTATCTTTAGAGAATCTCCAGTCACATTTTCTGCCGCCTTTTCCGTTTGGTTAAAAACAATTCGTAACTTTTGCAAACATCGCAAACTTGACTGACAGAATTCAGTCTGTACCACTTACTAACTAGTGTCCAATCAAAAAAAATATCTAACACAGTCCTACAGGAGGTCAGTCTCCAGCTCAAATAGCTTAGTGGTAACATCTCTGACCGCAGCAATCACTGGGTGATGCGGGTTTGGACCTCACAAAGGACATGAATTCCTTCATAGTTATAGATACTCCTTATTAGTCAGTGACAATGAGCATGAAACCTACGGTTAGAAACCTTTGATATTCATTTATAAAAGTGTTAACTTCTAATAATGATGCCATATATGATCATTTTTGCTGATAGGGAACCTTTTTGAACAGGCACTCCTCTACACCGCATTCTATAGTTTTACAGGAAAACATACCTCTACTGGATTGTATATGAGTTTCAGGTTTTTTTTCTTCAAGTTGATCCTTAATTATTGTTTGAAATTTATCGAAGTTCATAGTTATGTTTTGTTTTGATGTAATGTATATGACTTTTAAATAAATATGTATCGGTTACACGTGACCAACCTGTCATAAAATTGCCTAGGAAGTTTATCAGGTGGTTTCTAGTGTATGTTACAAACATCCTAAGATTATGGAATCTAATACTCTACTTTCAACAATGAAGGTCTTAAATTTTATGATTTCTAAATCTCATGAGGTTTACTGAACTTTATTCAGTTTGATCCCTGTCCTTATTTTATGTCTGAAGGCAGAGGATATTCATTGCGTTTCACCTAAAATCTCTTTATTCTGTAGTTCTGAATTAATAATAATATTTGGACACATTTAACTTATAATAAATATTCCACGTGAGAATTATGTAACCGTGAGTTCTAGTGTGTTTTATTTATCTGTGAGCTTATGTGAAATTGCGAGACAGGGAAGTGGGTGAGCAAAGACAATAAACAACGAATGAAACTGTCCTTTTCATCCCTATCACATTCAACTAAATATGTCCCAATTAAATTTTATTTATGTGTGGGTCATTTGTAATTACTTCAACAAACTTCGATGACAAAATGACAAAGCTTTTAACTGTTGAAATTGTGGTCAACAGAATTTCGCCTAAGAAGTATATAACTAAATACACAACTAATTAATTCATCAGTTACATATCCCGTTGGTTCCGTTTATATCTAGTTTCTTGGAGAATGCTGAATTACTCAGTGTGATACAGCTAACTAACCCCTCATGAGAATTTTCGTCTGAAAATAAGGTAGTTTTGTTCAATCCTAAACGTCAAATGCCAATTTAAAGGCAAAGTAAAAAAGATCAGGGAATTGTGTATTTAATAAAGGTGGCTTTAAATCATTATGAATAGTTCTAAATTATGTGATCCTTACCAGCGTCATAGTAACATGCAACTTGTTAATTCCGGTTAACACTGGGTAACCACTCTGTTGACTGTAGAATAAGATATCTGATAGACTTTTGCTTTTTGGACAACGACTAGCTGGATATTAATGTTTCCGTCGCAAACAAAATTAATAACTGTCCATGTTGTATTCATGTTCTCTAATATAGCATCACAGATAGTGTTTTAAGAGTCTTAGCGTGTTTCATCTGGATATCAATAATATAAATATCAATTAGTGAACCATTCCAAACCGAATGGTGGATTCAATTGTATTTGAAAATCTCTAGTTGTGAATATTCAACTCCCAATCAGGAGTTCCAAACTTTTAGGCCACATGCCTAACACGTTAAATTTTCTACTTCTGGCTTGGAATTCAATAAACTACACTTCTCTCTCTAAAGATTACAAAAGGTAGGATAACCTGTCACTGCATGCTTCTTGATTCCTAATGGTCCTGTATTTGATAATACTTGGCGATACAATCTACATTCTTAATAACTATAGTCCTTATGTCATAAACTTTCCGAGACAAAATAAAGTTTGTTTTAAAGCCCTCTAGCAATAATAACTATCACGTTAGTCAAAAAGTATAAATGAGAACCCTGTGACGGAGTGTATCTTCGACAGAGTCATCTTCAAAGGTTGTACATCCGTATTTATATTCATTTAACCAAATAGGTGCATATTTATGGATAGTTCGGAGTTTTTAACAAGTGATGCAGTTACTCTGAAAAAGTTTCGGAAAAAAAGATATAACGGAATAATTATCGACATAATAAAAGCAAGGGTTTGAAATTTGTTTAGATGAAATTTGTAGCTGTTAGAGAAGCATTGTGGATGACTATATGATTCTAGCCAGCTACAAGGACAATCTATATAAGATGAAGTTTTTACAAGATGTAAAACATCACAAACATCTGACTGTCTATGCCTTCAAAGTATACTTCGCCATTGTCCTGAACCTCGTATTGTTACCCCTTTAGTATTTTCGAGTTCTGAATAATTTTTTTTCTATCTCTGAGAAACATTTATGAGTTCACTGTATTGGTGATGTAATTCCCCTCTTCCTCACAAATTGGAAGTATAAGTATAACCGTTCTACCAGGAAGATGCCTTGGTCAATTTATAAAGTTCTATCCTCTGAAATGTCTTACTTGGAATATATAACCGTAAAATGAAATCAGTTTAATGTCGTAAAATGTCAAGAAGAAGGCTTTCATTCTACGTTAATGAAGATATGGATAAAATTCTAATACATAAACGTGATGCAGTCTTTTGTTTTGCGAAATATTGGCAAACCTGAACTCATGCAAATGTGAATTTTCCTTCTCAATACTTTTCTTGACTTATCATCCAGAGATGATAACAACTTACATTGCAAATTGATGACTGGAACTGCAAGGTGATGGGAAACTTAGTAACAACTACTTTTCATTTCCTCACTTAATTTCCCACACAAACTTGAAAATCGATATGAAAACTTCTATCAAACCGTAATTCATTTATCAGTTACATAATACTGACTACGCCTTGGCGACGTGCCGATATTTTCTTGCCTATGCTTAGATTAAAATAAGCTGTGGTTGGATTAACTGCATTTTGTTTGATTGATATAAATACGGATGTTTGTCGAGGTCACTCTCGACGTCTTTTTAGGTGTGAGTACATAAGTTACAGAAAGACAAATTCGCCTCCGTTTCGTTCTCGCTTATATGAATGAGTAGAACGATGACAGTCAAGTACGATTCAAGTTTCCTCGGGTATTTCAAATAACTGCTTCCCTTTATTAGTTTGAAAAAAAGAATGAATACATTTACAGGATAATAGGAGCTCCCCTTCAACTGCGTACATCCAGGTAACCATAATTACTTTGTTCCTGTGCTTTCATGTTTTGTTCTGTTGCGCAAAATTCCACTTAATTTTGTCTTCCGTTTACTGAGCTGATCTCATCATTATGTTTCTAAATCTATCTAGCTGTTTTTTATGTGTCGTAATTTTCTTTACTATTCACTTCCACCATCTTGAATTCACCAGAATAATATGTAGAAATTCACTGTGCTCTCTGATCTTGTATTTGGTCTCCAGTCAATCCTTGTTTCCAAACAAAATATTAACTCGACCACACAGTTAGTCAGTTAATCTTTTGTCATTCTATATCACGTGCATAGGTGAATGCCATAATCACATAAGATGTTATGTTTGGTTGTCTTAAAGGTGTTTTGTGAACTCTTTTACACAGTACGGAATTTCTCTCAGGTCTTTTACTACACCATGCGTGAAAAGACCTCACGACTGCTTTAGTCCTAACGTATTTTATTAAAACCCGGTAAAAATTAAAATTATATCACACTAAACATAGGTACATATACATATATTTCTAAGAAGCTAATTCTCTATTGATAACATGCTTCATTTTCTCATTACTACCTCTGCCAGGTGTATTGACTATGTAGACATGTTTACTACAATTGATCCGGATAGACTGGTATCAACAGAGCTCAAGACAACTTCATCGTCTTTCACTCATACACCTACAAAACGTGAACAAATACCACGAAATGTGTCTACAAATCACCAACGACCAGCTGATTATAGACTTTGTGGAGATTTGGAAGATTTTCCACAAAATGATTTTTATTCAATCAGCTCTATTTTAATACTAATATTTCATACAGCCTCTAGAACATCTGATGTAAGACGTGGTCGACCAATGGGATTCATCGGTCATTTTTCCTTTGATCTAAAAAGTATGTTTCGTAGTACTAAAACTTTTGAATATTTTTTCCGAAGTTTTAATTTATTTTAATAAGCAAAACACACTGGTTCACTTTTGCTGGGAATAATATTTTTTATTCGTTGAGTTCCCAGAAAAATATAAGTCTTCAGTAGTGAGACTGCTTGAAGTCTCAGCAGCCATTTAGAGTGATTGACCTCATACTCAACATTTCCTCTTTCCCAGGCTCAATATTGACTGGTAAAGTAGATGAGGTGTAGAAATGTGTCAGCAGGAAATTAGAAACCATGCCACGTGCACACTTGGTGAGCAATCTACCACGAAACCACCGACGCCCACTTTTAAGGCAATTTAAGAACAATTTATTCCCCCCCCACACACAAAAAACTTGGAGGATCTGGACTTCGCCGATGATATATGTCTGATTTCCAACAAACTGGAGGATATGCAAGCGAAAAGCAACAAGTTAGCAGAAGAAGCATCAAAGATAGGACTTCAGTTGAACATAGATAAAACAGAGGTGATGAAGATTCCTGGACAACACCGTCAACAGCAACAACAGACAACAATCAGTATAAATGGAAGGATCCTGAAAGAAACAACCTCCTTTACCTACCTACCCAGGAAGCATCGTTTCAACTACAGGCGGAACTGACGAGGATACCAAAGCAAGAATCGGAAAAGCAAGACAAGCTTTGATTACTCTCAAGTCTATGTGGAGGTAAACAATACTCAGCATCAAAAATAAGATCCGGATTTTCAACTCTAATGTGAAGTCAGTGCTACTATACGGATCAGAGACTTGCACTGCGCGTCATAAAGAGCATTTCCAACAAACTACAGACCTTCATTAACAGTTGTCCTCACTCAATACTCAAGATCAGATGTCCGGCCAGAAAAGATCAGCAACAAGGATCTTTGGGAACGAACCAACCAGGAACCGATTGTGAAACAAATAGGCAGGCAGAAATGGTGATGGATTGGCCATACTCTTAGGAAACCATCAAGTGACATCACTAGACAAGCCCTTGAGTGGAACCCGAAAGGGAAGTGGTGAGTCGGTCGTCAGTGCGAGGGTGACTTAGAGGAGGTGATGTGAAGAGGAGATGAAAACGTGTGGGCAAAATTGGAGCCCGGTGAAGACTCTAGCAGAGAACAGAACGCGATGGAGATGCACGGCTGAAGCTCTATGTTCTTGTAGGAATTAAAGGATACAATAATAATAATATTCCCCATAATCAAATGACGATGATCAAGAAAAGTTTTGACCATTCAGTTTATTAGTTTCATAATTCTCTAGCCCCCTAATACTATTTGAGTAAAGCAAGAATAATGGTTTGCACAGAATATGATGGTACTATCATTTATTTCGTCAGTTTCTCATCAGCTGCTTAAAGCCCAAGAAATTATTAAGTTTATTTGCAGAAACAACTTGAAAATGCAAATTTCACGTGATGTCAGTTGACACAAACCAATTTTAAACAAAAATTAATGTATGCATACAATATTAAAGGCGCCAAGTTATAAAGACAAGAGGTGAATAAGATGATTAATAACTAATAAATTAAGTAACGATGAAGTGAGTTCAACTCAAATAATAGAAAAAAGCGACAAGCAAAGTTACACTATATCAAGTGGAAGAGAGTGAATAAAAACACCCAGCTTCCAGAGCAAGAAGAGACTGATAACGCCTTCATTCTAAACACATTAATTCGGTTTTAGATGTTTGATAGGGAATGCTCATTTGTCTTTTGATAATTTTAAGGGATTTCGTGATGTCTACCTCATAGCTCGTATCAGAGCGATGGCCGGAAATGGCACTATTGCAACAGATTTTTTCCCTTGAGACCTAGGCTTTTTGGTAAATGTCTGTTAATGCTTTTTGTTTAAATGAAAAGCAGTCTTCGACTGTGAAAATGTCTTTTAACTGCTCTTCGCCTATCACTCATTCTTCTTTGACACGGCAGTTACATATACCATTCACTATAAAGATGTCCGTAAAGGAAATTTAGTAATAGCTCAGTGCACGATAATTTTCTCACATCAGTCTGATGTTGGTATGAAACACTCTTCAACTAGAAGCTGCAGTCGTGTGAGAAAAGGGAATTTGATGATGTGGTCTACTCATATGTTGTATGACATACATAATTAGTTTTATAAAGCTGACCGTCAGAATGATACAGTCATGAAAATTCATTTCTGACTGTTTCATTTTAAGGCCTAATATTATCTTGTCTAATTTTGTAACCAGAAATGTAGAAGTAGAGTGTAAACAGTCGTTTTGGAATTTTAGGCCTAGCTATTATGTAAGCAAATACTCCTGTTTTTGAAATAATGAACAGATACTTTGACTGTGACAGGTGATTTTGTCATCGTGTTTGCTGGTCTGGATGGTTGAATTGCAGAACATTTCATTGTCCTTTGAGTTAGCCCTGAGTATCTAATTCATCTAATTCAGAGACAAACAACACCGAACATTTTCCATCAACTCAATGAAAAAGCTGCTATCTTACAAAATCTGAAATCCACTTAATGTTTGGTTTCATGTGTAGTGGGAATATGTCACAGTCGTTAGGCATTAATCCGTCAACCTCAGGATCAAAAGCAAATGCCATCACTTTTTGACTACCCAACAGTTTTCATAACTAACAAGATGAACTGACCGTAGAGTTATATTGAATTTCTGTATACTGTAAAACACTGGCAAGGGATTATCACTGCTGTTGCCGTTATTAATTCCTTGTATTGTGAATATAACACAGGGTTTCAGCAGTACACTCCCATTGTACTCCGTTTTCTGTCATTCATTTCTAATTTATCCTACGTCTACTTACAGTCTCTAATTTGCTCTTCACATCATCTCTTCATTATCATGATCAGACCGATGTTCCGCAAGTCGCTTTCTGTTCAGGTTCCACTTGAGAACCTAAGATGTAATGTCACTCAGGTGTGTCCTCAGTACATGTCGGATCCGTCCCAATTTCCACTTGCATATTTATTAAACAACGGGTACTTGGCGCGTTTGTTAAGCTACTAGATTTCCACAATGCTTATTCATTCTGGCTGACTAGCTGATCTTTTAATGTTGAGAGAAGGAAGCCGCTGATAAAACTTTATTGGGAATGCTTTTTGTGATGCACGCTTCAAGTCTCTGAATTATATAGAAGTTCTGATTTGACATTGGTATTAAAAGTTCGGATATTTTGCTTTTGTGCAGAATGTAGTTAAGCTATAAACAATTTCCGAGTGTTGAACTTCATTGTCGCTTTATCGATTTCAACTATTAAATCGTCAAACATATTACAACGTACGATTGTTCTTTTAATATTTTATTATAATAATAATTATGTGAAATGTAGCAAACTCTTTATTATTCTAATCATACGTGCTTTTGATTTTGTTATTCAAGGTAATTATCTTTCAGATGGAAAGCTTAAAGAAAATACAAAATGTAATTATGAATTTCAAAGTGTAGAAACAGCAAATGGTACCCTCAAATATGGAAATTTTTTCTCCCCTCAATATCCAAGTAATTATCCACCGAAAATAACATGTCAGTACAGTTTCAAAGCAGAAAAACACGAACGCGTAATTCTAACATTTCGTTCTATTCGACTGAAACCTACTTCACAGGATGGTCTTACCGGTAATGTTGAAAGGTATGTATCTCCAGATTATTATTATTATTGTTATTACTGTGGGCAGGGGTTTTGTGTCAAATTTTTAAAGTGTCAGGGCGAAATCTCGTCGATCACATTTCCTTGCGGTAGTGCTATATTTCGTTAATTTAGAGGAGTTGAAATTCCCTGGCCACTGGAATCCATCACAGCTGACTGAATGATCCTCGAACTTGCCTTGTAATTTGAAAAGTTCTCAGCTGAACCCTTGCTGATGGATTTACATGTAGATGCTGCCAAAGGGTCTTTAGAAAAGACGAAAGAGCTGTCCACTACTCCTTGTCTTACAGTGGTTCTCTAACTGAAGTCAGCTTATTGCTAAACAAACTGCTTTTGAAGCTTCTTGGACAAAACTGTTGAAATTCAGAGATTCAAATCCATAATTCCAGAGGGCCGATTATTGAATAAGGAATTTTCTTTTCCATAACTTCTATTTCAACAGGTTCTGCAGTTGCATATGTACAATAATGATAAAATTATTGTTATTGACGACATAAATGCTTTTTTTGAAATTCATGAAAAATCCCCATTCGAACATTAATAGACAGAAGACCAGTAGTTCAGCGAAGAGTTTCTCTTCGGCAAATTCATTTTCATAGCTGTAAAATCGCAAATATTTTTGGTTGTTTTGTATGTGTGTGTACATTAAATTTGCCAAACGAAGATACAATTAGTTAGTTCAGATGAATTAAATGTTGATATATGAGAGTAGTAACAAAAGTGATGTTTTCACAAATGACTGTTAAAGAAGAGTTACGTAATAACACAGATAGTTTGATGACAGAGTTGTTCTCAGGGTGTACATGGAAACAAAATATCATATGGGATTACGCAAGAGTTTTAATATTACTGCATAACACTGTGTGATTTATCAAAATAAAATCTTATCTATAATGGAGAGTTTTAAGTAATTAGAAAAATAAGAATACATAACATCTAATCGCTGACAACAAAATTCGAAAAGTTATACGTAAATAGCTTGTTAGTAGATTATAGTCCGAAACATGAGTATGTAGGAATATGCACAAATGTAGTATACAATTGACCACCAATAATAATGAATACTCATGAATAATGTTCCGGAATAATATCTAAATTTACCAATCTGTCATCCAAAAAGTGAAATTTCCACTTTGCTGAAATTGTAAATTCGTATATTCGTTACGAAACGGGTAAATTTAGATAAAGCAATAAGAAGATGTAATTTGTCTGAATCGTGTAATGAATTCGCGCAACACATTTCGAACAATCTGATCACGCACGGACTTGTCATAGGAATTTAAATGAAATCAATAAAGAGGTAGGAGGTGAGAAAATCGACTTAGGTCAAGTTAAAAGGACATATTCAAGGTCAAAAGAACGGTGGAGACCACTAAACCAAATAGCAGAGGTAATAGTACATCTGCTATGCTGTCAAAACAAAATTTACCAAAGAAGGTTTAATGTGATGACGAATTGTTTTGAACGCATAAAGGTGGTTCAAACTTGTAGAATGACTTTTAGAATGGGTTTCACTCAACAAGTCATTCCATAATTCAGCACAAAATATGGAGTAATATTTCACCACGAGAAACATCTTGGTTCACGGTACTTGGACCCTGTTACCTTACTCTACAACTCGCCCCTAAGAAAGACGTGTACATCAAGCTACCCTATATGGGGTATCACAGTAGCTTGATAACTAGACAGAGATTGAACGCTGCTGTTAGAAAGATTTTTTATGCAGCTTATATCATAATAGTAGAGAATATAAAGCCAATATATCTATTTAAGCCCTTCGAACATGCGAAAAATGATGTCACATCCCACTGTATTTACCAATTTGAATGAACGTGTTAACACACATACATAGGGAGGACTCATCGACCTCTGCAAGTAAGGGCTTCAGAACATATTCCTAAATGGCTCCAAAAACAAATAATATCTTCAGAAACAATTAATGGTGAGGACGGGAGACCTAGGTCTTCTATTGTGAAAGATATTACAAAGACAGGATATAAAATTAAAGTTAACAGATCTTGCGTTGGTGGCACAGTGGTTAGGACTCTCGCCGACAATGCGCATGGTCCGGGTTTCGGTCCCCTGCCGACGCACACCCGATATCTGTGGTCGGCCAGTAAAATTTGGGCTACCGATATCCATGCTGAAAATTCCATACTTGTACTGAAAACACGATGCGGCATCAAGCTGTAACCAAAATAAAAAAATATCTATAAAACGTGTTTGGGGCGTATCCTAAAGTTTGTGGAAGCCCGAGCTGGCAATTAAAAAGTTTGAACCACCTTTGTGCGTTCAAAACAATTCGTCATCACATTAAACCTTCTTTGGTAAATTTTGTTTTGACAGCATAGCAGATGTACTATTACCTCTGCTATTTGGTTTAGTGGTCTCCACCGTTCTTTTGACCTTGAATATGTCCTTTTAACTTGACCTAAGTCGATTTTCTCACCTCCTACCTCTTTATTGATTTCATTTAAATTCCTATGACAAGTCCGTGCGTGATCAGATTGTTCGAAATGTGTTGCGCGAATTCATTACACGATTCAGACAAATTACATCTTCTTATTGCTTTATCTAAATTTATAAAGGGAACTAATTGTTTTAAACGAGTAAAGTAACCGGGAGATATGTTTATTGTTATTGCATATAATAAATATCACATCAGTACGTCTCCTGTAAAATGTCATCTCATCTATCGCGTGTTTTAGGCTTGTCTGTTCAAGGTATCCCAAAACGTTATAAGCTGGGATGTTACCTAAACAGTGTGAGTTGTTGTATCAAAATTTGGTTAGTTTCAATGTGAATGTAAATGATGTCAGCTGATATATGTTTTTCATTCTATGCCCTGACTGAACCACTTAAATTCACCTTGGGTTGGCAGATTAAAACTAATGTAGAACACTTTCAATACACCGACCTATTTTTGGAAATCTGATAGTTTTCTTTTCTCATTAAGGTAACAGGGTCCAAGTCCAGTGAACCAAGATGTTTCTCATGGTGAAATATCACTCCATATTTTGAGCGGAATTATGGAAGACTTCAAAAATACGAAGCGCAAATAAATAAATAAATAAGTTAATTAAAATGACAAGGACCAAAATCATATTCGAAAAGAAACATTTCGGATTTTATTCATTTTTTCTTGAATAGGTGTAGCACATGGAATCACCTGCCCTTGCAGCACGATTTCATTACTGTTTCTGAAGTCTATGAGGAAACCACAAAGACTCTGGCACGAATCTGTAGTAATGTAATGAATATTCAATTAGTTTCGCACACCTCAAATTTGAAAATGGACTTCGTAAGTCATAATCCTATATACCAAGGTCAAGGATTTCGAGGAACTTATGAATTTGTTCACGAGTCTCGAGTGAATCCTTCACCATTCTTAAGTGAAGAGGAGAATGGACAAGTTGACTCCAGTAAGAATGAAGGAGAAAGTCAAGAGCTATTACGAACAAATACTAACAAGTCTAGATTATTGGTTGCTGATGCTGGTTTCTCTTCATCAAGAAATATGCATTTCCGTGAAGGTGAGTAGCCTCATTACTTGATGGTTTATATTTTCAAGCTGATGATTTACTAGTTCTCTTTCTTACGTAGAATCTTCGGTGTTCACTTAGTTACTGAACTTCCATTCTGCTCCAAAGAATACTATTATTTACGCACCATTTTCCTCGACAATGATTATTATTCATCCACGCGTAGGACCTCAGCAACACACTTTGGTTGTATTCTGTTGTATGTCAGCTCTTTTAACTTACTACTCGATTACCCGCAAGCTCTAATCCCCTCTACAAATAGTCTTCTGCCCAACATTCTGAGAAACCTGACTTATTGCCTTATATCTGTTGGTTTAGCTTGTGATATCACTCAGCGATATATGCAACAATAGGTTGTTAGCTGGTTTACTGAACTCTTGGAGTTACCTGTTGCTGATCTTCATTGTCCAGGTACTGAATCTGTTGATGGGTGTTTACAGACTTAAGTGAATTTCTGGCCAATAGGTCACAAAAACTAACCCTTGGTTGGAGATAATATATACAGAGTGCGTTTTCTTTCACAGTTTCATTCCTGATGTTTTCCGTAAACATTGGTATCTGTGATTAAAGTTAATGGTCTACGAGCTCGCCTTGTAATCAGAAGGTCGTACTGATGAAGAGTCTAAAACTAGGACGAAACAGCTGTGCAGTACTCTCAGGTTTTCTAATGGTCCTCTTGCAAATGTCAGCTCATGATGAAATCCTGTAACCGAATAAAGTTTTTGTTTACTGATACACGTTAAAGTGTACAAATAATAACTTAGTGCATTAATCTACATAAAATGAAGAGATTCCAACCTAAAATACCCTTTTTACATGCCTCATAAAGAAGATTTTTGTTATAGTGGATGTGGATTTCCTTTAGTATGACGGAAGTAATAATAATAATGATTTGCTTTATTCCAAAACAGTATTTATGACAGAGTGTAAAATTCTTAGCATTTAGTACAAAATTTTATCCAGTTTACTCAACAGCAACAACTTTTGGCAGTGAAAATAACAATAAAGCCGAAAGTATACAAAAATATAAAACTATAATGGTAATAATACTAATAACCAAAGTGTGAAGATAATTAAAATATTGTCACCGTTAATGACAAACGAGAACCATAAGTTTTAGTATAAACACTTTCTCTATTGCATAGAACACAGGTCGCTGTAATTTTGTACTTTCTTGTGCGAGCATATCATCATTTATCATGACTTCCAGTCCTACCAGATGAGATGCAGAACGACAGTTTTGAATACAGAGACTGCTGAGAGTCACAAAATATGGATTTAGAGCATTCCTCTCATGAGTCTCAGTGTCTGTCAACTCAAGTAGTAACGAACTGACCCTAATGAATATGTCAGTACTGCAAAATCAAAGAATATGCGTGTTGGCAGCAAAAGGGAAAAGGGCAAAGTGGCGTTGGAGCCATTACGTATATGTACACAAAGTCTTAAAACACTGAAATTTCTATTACAGATTCCTGGTTGTCTTTACTTTTTAATGTAGTAGGTTAGAAAGAACATTTTCTTAGAAATCAACAGACTATAGGATGAACAAGAAAGGTTAGAGGAAAGAATTATTTCAAGGTATTTTATGCTTGACTTAGTTACAAATGTGTTCCTTAGCTTACAAATATTATTTGACAAAGGCGTATGTGAATACAATGGCATCGAACTTAGAATAAAAAAAAACAACTGAGGAAATATCATGCAACATTAAGAAAAACCGAACAATTTGAAGTTGATTTATGTTATTCTCCCAGACATTCTGACAGCCAATAAATAGAAGAACAGACTACTAGTAATACTATTACTATTATTTGTATCTACAAGTGAAATTTGAATCATCACGTTGGTTCCTGATTTGTTATGTTTCACAAATCACTTTTTATCTTAAGATGATCGTGTGAAAGTTGTTTCAGGGATAATCAAGCACCTATCACTGAATCAGTTTTAAATGCCATAAATTGTACAGGCGAAAAATATGAAATTAACTAAAGTTGCACTGAATATACTTTGAAGACTTGGTTATCCTTTCATTACTTCATTCTTTTTTATGCATTGCAACATAATAATTTGATCAATTTAATTTTGAAAAAGAATGGCGTTAGTTTGTAGGGAGTTCAGTGGTTTCAAGACCAATCCGCGGAACTGACTCAGCTAGAGAACCACTGAAAAAGAGAGGTTACTGGATAGCTATTTCTCTTTTGCTTGGGATTACTTCGCCGTGTGTACTAATGGTCTCACCGTAGACTAGACCCAGGACCTTCAAGTTGTGCGGTGAGCCCGCTAATCACTCATCTACTCGTCGTACACAATCCAAAGACTTACAAATTAGGAATTCTATCAATTCATGAATTTTACACCATGAATATATACCAGTTGGAGAACGATTAAAATTCAGGAAATGTAACTTCCATTATCCTGACACCTTTATTATTTTTATCACCAAGTACATATAATCATCATTCTATAGATACACATATAGTTGAAATTTCTTGGTAGTGATCGATTTGGACTACTGAAGTGAAGCTGGATCCTGCAGACTTTTAATAATTGTGAAGTAGGAAAGGAAAATCTAACTTTGCTTCTTTGTTGTATTATTATTTTTAGAATTATCAATAATTATGTACTACATCAGCTGAGGTGTAAATTCACCACAGTTTCTTTTAGATATTCAAAGTAATTATGTTACAGTTTTTTGGCTTACCTTGTTCTGTTATCATAATTAGAATTTTCGGACAGCCCATGACCCACTTTATACATATAAACATCAGTTCCTTAATTTAATAAAGTTCTATGAATTTCATCCCCTTCAGTTCAAGTACCTCATAATCGTAATATTAACTTGAGACACTTTAGTGCCAATGATAGAGATTTCATGTAGCCGAAATTTTTCTGCATGGTTTGAAAAAAGAGGTTATTGATTAGGCAATGAAATAAAACGGTTGGTAGGTCATTGTTATGATGGTTAAATGATAAAATGTTACTAATAGAGCTCTTCAGCATTGAGGAGAAAAGAGATAGGAATGAAATGCGGCTTGATTTCCCTATATATATATATATATATATATATATATATATATATGTACAATCAAGATTTGTAGCTCAGCTGGATGATTTTGATGTAGTTGTGTTCTACAGGCTCGATGGTTTATCTGAGAAGTATTTATTGACCTATAAGGCAACATCTTTAGCACCATTGGGTCAAGTCTGAATGACTGTATGGTTTATAAGCTCTCCTTTTAACCAGAAGGTCCTGCGTTCCAACTCCATTGGGTGCACACTGGCGAAGAGTGCCAGACTAGGGCGAAACGGTTGTTCAATACTCTCTAGTTTTCTAGTGTTCCTCTAACTGATGTCGAATCATGATAAAGCCTGTAACTAATCAAATCCCTGATAACAAACACATCATTATTATTTGCCTCGCATGAGCTGATGTATAGAGCGAACATTTGACAATATAGAGAAAAATAGATTGTCAATGTTCAGTTGAACACTTTATATCATATGACAATAAGAAAACCTAAATAACTTTATTTTCTTCTTTTATAGTTGACGATTTAATACACTCTGACCTAATGGATGCTCAGTATAGTAGTCAGTCTTATTCCGATATGGATTCAAAATATGTACAAAGAAAACTGATCTTATCTTCAGGTCCTTCAAATCATACCCAAGGATTTATTGTTTCTCCCAACTTCCCACAACCTTATCCACCATCTACGACAATAGTGTACACTTTCATAGGTCAACCGACAGAAAAAGTAGTGGTTAAATTCTTGTACATGCGACTTGGAAATTCTAACAGGTAAGTAAAGATGTTGTGTATATTTAAATCAAACTTAGAAATGCTTAATAAAACCTGGAAAATTATGTGTTTGTAAGCGATTCAGTAGGACTCTTAAGTCAAGTTTGGAACTACTGCAAACACAAATAAATGTTCGAATTAGTGCATGTGTACTTCAGGTATGATTGGGTATTGGAGGAGTTGATCACTGGTCTTATTCTAAAATGATATACTTCTTCGATATTGGTTTCTGTTTTGTAATAAACCATATGCATACAACGTCAGGTTTGTCTCGCACAACCTCGTACACCCTGAAAACCTAATAGTTGCAAAACTGTAGCAGTACTGAGAGGCTTGTGAAACATGGAATAGATGGGGTTTTTCGGGTACTTTCAAGATTACTTCTTAAAACTGTTTTGAAAAATATCTTACAATTGATACAGCCTGGGTATTGTGCGAAAATGCTTAATCGCATAATTTAAAATGAGGAGTGCATCGGTGGCACAGCGGTTAGGACGCCCGCCGACCGTGCACATGGTCCGAGGTTCGATCCTCGGCCGACGCACTCCTTTACCTGACTAAGCCAGTAATAAGACTGGTAAAGAGGAAAGGTTGGGCATGAGGCTAGCAACCCCATCCTGTAAAAATAAACACTGCTACAGAAACTTCAAGCCTCTAGCTTGAAGCCCTATGTTCCACTGGGAACGTGAAGGAAAGAAAAGAGGAATATTTCGCCTCAAATAATAACGCATATCAAACTGTTAAAGCGCTGTTTGAACGACAGCTATATTCAAGTTAATATATGTGTATATTCAAGGTATTCAAGCTATATGTGTATATTCAAGCTATATTGAAGGTTGATCACGAAGTGACGCATCAGTTTGGGAACCACTGGAATCAAAACTGTACTGTACAGCTGTTTCTACCATGTTCGCGGCCCTAGAGCAGTAGGCATCCGTGATCTTATCAGGAATTGAACTCAGAGTTTTTATTTCCTAACCCTGCTGGTTTCAAGGGTGTGTACTCATGTAAAGTCCCAAACAAGGGTGAAACAGGTCTCAAGTACACCATGGGCTTCAATTGTCATCAAAGTGATGTAGTAGTTCATTAGAAATCTTGAAATCTAACTAAATCTCTGCAAGTCAACTCCTGGAAATGGCTCTTTTTTGTTTTTAAAATCTTTCAGTTGTGAAAACACTTCAATGGGTGA